ACACGTGCTTCAGCAGGTTGTGGCCACCCTGGTCACTCCAGACTAGGTATGCTTATCCCCTCCCTTAGGACGGTAGCTTGGGTATGTCCTATCAGTGGCCCCTCCCGCAGTTGGTGCCTACCTGAACGTTGTTTCTCAGGATACTGCAGGAGGGGCCACATCCTGCCCTACCTATGTCTGTAGCGAGTTAGGGTTGGGGGCAGCCCAGTTGTCTTTTTTTTTGTCATTTCAGATCACTCTCTATTGCCGCGACCTTGTTGAAAACTGGGAGCCAAGAGAGGGAATAGAGACGTGGCTATAAAAAAATACCACTTCGTCTCCGGACCAATCAGGATGTGATAATAACCCATCAGTGGCCCCTCCCGCAGTATCCTGAGAAATGACGTTCAGGTTTTCAAAGTAGAAGGGCTCTTGTCTTTTTCTTTTCTTTTGCTTCTCTTGCCAAATTATTTTCCAAAACCACCTGTAAAATGCTGTTCATGCCCTTGAGTCTTTATCAGGTTTTATAAACAAGAGTCCAAACCCTTCCATTGCAAAGTCAGTGAAGCCAAATAGAGAAGAACAAAGGATACATTGTTTAAAAAAAAAAAACAACTTCAGGCTTAGGCTTCCAAATGGCAGATTTGATTATTATTTTTTATGCTTTTTCCTTAAGTATCTTTAATATGATTTTATAACAAATAGAAGGAGAAATTTGTTAAAGTAAGATTTTTTTTTTAGTTCAAGCCAAAAGAGCTTGAAGTTAAGGTAGTAAAAAAAAATAAAGGAAAAAAGATCAGTCCTTAAACTTCAAGCGGAGAAACAGGAAACGTTGCAATCACTTCAATCCACAAAACATCGTTACAAGCAGGAACAACAAACTTTTTAAGGCAGTCTAATAGGGATTAAATTTGTTGCTTTGTTCTTGCTTAGAAGACTAATTTTTTTTTTTTAAAAAAAGAGTTTCTTAGGGCAATCTTGAGAAAGAAAAGAAAACCTCACCAGATGGAACGCTTTCACTTCTTCTCTATTTGGCTTCACTGACTTTGCAA